TAGAAATAGATACACCGCAGAGTCCAAACTGTTATTAGTAAGCCATTAAACTTGGTGACCAAACTTCGAGAAAGCGTACATAGCTTTGGGCACAAACTACATGGAACGTCGGCTATTTAGATGCGAAATCATAATCATTAATAATCCTGCTCGTCCCTCGCTATCGGAATTGCAAAACAGTAATCTAAGACCTAAGTTTCTAAACTGCCGCGGTCGAGATTCTTCCCAGAAAAACACCATGGCGCTTAACTTCAATTCGACAACGGACAGCAGCTTTTATGCAGATGCGCGCTGGCTTCATCAATCTGCGGGGCGCAAAGTGTTCCCCGGATACCTGCACATCTTTTTATCAGAGACTCTCCAACACGCGCTTTAACTTTATCTTAATGAAAATGTCGGGAGATCAATTTTTCAATTATCCACATCATTTTGGATTTCTTTTCCGCGAAGCGTATCATACAGACATTTAACAGGCGAGTTTTACGATGCTCGAAAGAAGAGAAGAGAGTTCTGTGAAACGTGCGTCATAAAAGCGAGTTGATTATATCAATTGCTGTAAGCAATTGCATCAATAAACAAGCTCTTTCGTCGCAACAAAAACTGCGGATAAATCTATATTTCGATAGGAGCAAAAATGGAAGAAAAATCAGAAAAAATCACTTTCGATCAATGACGTGACGTATCGCGGGATTGGCAGCGTTCGTCCATTTTTATTCGGTCCGCTTTCTACGTGATTTTCCTGTCCGTTCTCTAGAATTGCAACATCGCGCCGGTTTTCACACGGTGGCACACGTAGCTAATCGTACGTTGGCATGTGCTATCCCGCCGGGAAATCGAATTTGCGATTCTATGCCGCGGCGTAACTTTTCACACGTTGCAAAAGTCTGCAACTTGCCCCGAAGACGCGCGCCGCAACTCGATTTCGCCGGGAACAGGCTCGGAATAATTTTTCCATATCAACTCAGCCGCGCGCAATCCCGCAATATCGGTCGTATAGAAGGACGGTTGTGTTATTTGCGAAATATCAATACATAACGCGTGACAAGCGAGAAGTTACATGGTCGACTACGGTAAATTCGCATATTCTAACGCCGAAGGCACTTTTTTATCGAGATTTTTTATTTTCTTTTTCTGTTTTTTCTCGGTGATACAAATAAATAGATAAATATAAACATATTGAGGCAAATTTCCTAGAAACCCACGGCACAGTTTTATGAAAATTATTTATAACTATACAAAGCTAGATTATTTTAATTTTTTTTTTTTTTTAAATATTGTGAAAATATTGAAACATAACATCTAAATGCATGTGTCGTGAAGTTTAAAGTATTCGGATATTTTGTATTTTATTGCGAACTTTCAGAGATTTTCTTACAATTAGATTTGAATTGCATCATAAAACAAAATTGTGTTCTTTTTAAATTTATATTATTGTGTACAAATTATTTTATTTTTACAGCTGCTACTTTAATAGAATATGCGAACAGCCAATTTGTTTTCGATCCTCTGCGGGGAAAGAGATATTAATCATGACATATTACTTACTGCATATGTGATACTTTCTCATTGCAATGCGGAATTCGATAATTTAGGATACACGTAAAAGAAACAAGGTCGTTGACCAGAAGAACCGCGGAATTCTCATCGAGCCTGCAATTGTTCGATTCGCGTCGTGAGCGCTGGCCTTAATTTGACTCCCGTTTGCGATGACTCATTTTCTCGCGTACCACGCCAGCCAGACGAATATTATTATACTAATCGACATCCGCAGCCTCCCGACACCCTGCCTAAGCATTGCTCTTTTCCGCTGCGGAACTGGTATTATGTCGCGAGCGTTTACTAGAACGAATTAGATCGTTCACGCAAAACTATTTTTAACCGTGACAGGAATATAAAACTGTGTCCTTTCTCTTTATTTAATTTTATAATATTCATTTTTTTAATTATATGCTAATTTCAAATCCACCATTTCGAGGCTAAACAACCGTAGCAGCATGCACTTTACATGATCTACGGTGTTATTGTTCATCGTGAAAATGTCATATTTGTATAATAAATGTAAGATTATCTACGCTTTATGGCATATAATTGTACACAGTCGAAAGGTGATATTATATTTGTACAAGACTTTACACGAGCTGTATGTATGAAGCGAACAGTCGTTGATCGCTTGTAAGTATGCATAGTCGTCAAACATTGAAATTAAAATATCACAATTCTCCAGCATCGTATCCATTGATAAAATTATCTTTTTTGACTATTTTGTGAAATATCTGAAATATATATGTTGCATAATGTTGTGAATTCTTGCAATACGATTCTTCAATATATCGAAAATTTTTTATTGCGCTATAAACAATATAAAATATGGAATGTTGTATCTATATATCGGATAAATTATTAATGAAAAAATGCATAATCCTGATGGAAATCAGATATCGAAAAAATTATATGTCCGAGACTTATAGCTTACATTGCTGTTACAGACGAGCTTTAATTCCGTACGGGAATCGAGAATGTTGCAAAAACGTTAAACCGATCGCTCGCGAAATTGCGCTTCGGCGATAAGGGGAGGTTAATGATGATAGCATCGGGCGAGGGAAGTCCAGAGGAAAAAAGGGATGCGCGCGAACTTTCCCTGTGTGCGTCCGCGGTTTTTATACCTGTCCACTCCCTAGCGTTACCTCACGAGCATTTGTGCAATAGCGGTTAACGACCGCGTTATCTCGAGATCGCCAATTTGTGCGCGGCACGGTCTTTGAGTAACGAGAGGGACCTAAGCGACGCGGCGTGAAAGAATATCGGATAGAAATGTCGTTCCCGATAAATGTCAAGCATAAACGATGGCCTAAGGCGAGCCGTCTTATTTCACTTGCGTCATTCCGCTCTCCGCATCATCGTCCGCTTTCGCGCATCACAGAGCCACTCAGAAATTTATTCGCACACGCATAATTACATGAGGGCTCGCAATTAAGCTAATCCGCAAGAAAGTCATCCGTTAGTTTTCAGAACGAGTTGTTGTTAAAATCTTGACAGACAATCAAAGAGGATGTATTTCTTCATACAAATCAATTTGCTTTCACATTCAAGTCCGCAAAATCTTGCAATAAATCTCACGTAATATTATGTAATTTAATTTTCTCAATAAGAAATGTATGGCGTTAAAATATAATTTAGCGATAAATTACACAAACGTGGCATATGACTTAATTTTTCACGCGCGAATAGCCTTGAATGAATTACAACGATTATCATTGTTGTCTCTAACTAAACATATTAATTGAATGTTTCCGCGCACAAATTGGATTTTACGAGGATTTTATGAGCGGGATAAAATGAATTCAGCACATATCTCTATTTACTCAAGCTTGTTCGACGTATGAAAACGCAACACCGCAAACGCTCGCCTCGCTTCAAATATGTCTTTTACTTGAGGGAACTGATCGAGGAGGGCTCCGGTCGGTGATCCGATGAGAGTTATCACGAACAGAGTTCGCCTTGAGGTAACTTTGCACAAACACGCACTCTCGTGCTCCAATGCTCGTCTGCGCTATCAAGTCGGTCGGAAACACAGACTGCACTAGAATACGTGTGAATCCTAATAGTGCACTCTGGTGCGCGTGTTCGTATAATGAGATGTGTGCATACCGAGGGAAAGTTATCGTTAATTTGGAAGCAGGCGTCTTCGTATGCTCGTTGCCGGAGCAAAGTTCGCTAATGCAGTTTGCCGATATATCGGACAAAGTGGAATCTCGTTATAGCAATGGCACTATTTAATGGAATATCGCTAAAGCTCCGTATACGATATGTTTGAGAAATTCAATCTTGTCGAATAATAGCATTATCTGAAGATTGAATATTTGGTAAAAGCGACCACATGTAGTGTGAAAAATTTCTATTATTATAAATTTTTAAATTTATAATAATTATATATATAATACGAGTGCAAAAGAGACGAGAGAATATTCTCCCGTATTCTCACATATAGATATACGTATGTGAGTATGCGGAAAGCGTTGAGCGCATAATGTGTCGGTATCGCGCGGCAGCCAGCGGGCTCTCCTCACGCAAGCCTGTTTACATAAGTCCGACCCGAGCTCATCGTCGTAGCCGTCGTTGTCGCTCTCCACACATCGCGGCCACAGGTGGGCATCCCATATACGCGCGCGTTTCACGCACCGCGCTTTGTATGTATGCACGCCGAACAACGAGAATCTGAGAGAACCTGTTCCCCTCGGGGTCCACCCGGTATGTGTGTATCTCGCGGGGGTCATCTGCGCGCTCTCAACGATGGGGAGGACACTCGAAAAGCCGTGAGTACAGAGAGATCCCACCGACGACGACGTTCTAGCCAGAGAGAATGCGGAGAACACAGAGTATGGACGCGGGGGGAGGAGTGTGCGCGATACACGCTGGGATATCCTCGCTCTCCGGGCTCGGACTCTTTGATGGCACTGATAATGGTATGCGAGAGCTTGCGCAGGGAAAATCTAACGCTTTAACCTTTTTCCGTGGGCATACACGTATTGCGGTATTATGCAAGTTCCGCGATTAAATCGCACTTATATAAAAGTGAGCAAATCAAGTGAAAATGACGATTGTCCGCGATAAAAGCAAGCGCTACTTTCAGGAAGATAAAAATAAATTCCGATTAATCTCGCGGATAGAAAATGTTCGAGTCAACTGGAAGAGAGAGGCGTGATATATCTCTCTTCAAGTGGTGTATTCAAATAATAATCTTGTCACATGAAATATTCACGAGTCCCGAATCTCCATGGAAGAGAAAAGCGCAGGGGAACGAAGGGAAATGAAACACAGCGTCACTTTAATCTTGACGTGACTTTTTAAAACACACGCTCGATGGGAAACGAACCGCTACGGAAACTGAAGGGCACTCCATCTGGTCACCACGGATATCCATCAACCTCGCGTAGGCGACGAGGCGATGTCTCCAGTAAACCGAAAGTTTTGTGTAAGATAGAGCAAACTGAAGGACTTACCTTATGTAGCGCATGTAGTTTAACCGCTCGATGACCCTCGTACGGGACGGTTGCTGAAGTATTTACATCTTCATGTAAAAAAGAAATCTCGACGAGAACGGACCTGAAATTACAAGAAAAAATGTCGTTAGTGAGGCAGACGTATGAAACGCAAGAAACTGAAAAGACAAAAGAAATGTATTATCTTGTAAAAAATAAGTAAATTTTGTAACTTGCGTCACAACTCTTTTGCCCAAAGCCATTGTAATATCGGCCAACTATGGCGAAACTGTATTGTTCTTTTTATGTGTCCCATAGGAACTTGCTCTATTTCGAATTTGCCCCATAAAACTGACAAGAAAAACTTCAAGTTTAGTTTTAAAGTACACTACGCCCTCGAAGACATGCGCAAAAACAAGGGGAAATTCGTGGAAAATTCGCGTGTCTTATACCACAAGTTTTAGATAGGTTCCGTTCGAGGGTGAAAAGTTCGAAATACTTCCCGAGCAGTTTATCCCGCCAGACGTTTCGCAAGGATTTGCGAGTTGACTTTGTTTTATCGAAGATAGCAGACGCGAAACTTTCGCGAAGCATCCTCTTTTTCGCAACCAACGGTGATCATGGTGTCATGATCTTTCTTTTACGGGGCATTTGCATCGTCTCGATTCGCTGCATGTTACGCAAAGTTTAACGAAGTTGTTACAATTCTAAATCTAAAGCTAAAAGTTGGCTACTAAATTTACTGCTTGCGCATTGAAAATGTTAATAATATTCATGAACAAAGTCACATTGTGATATATCAGTTTGGAAAAAATATCTATTTGAGAATTTTTCAATCAATGCATTATTTTATCAAATAATACTGCAAACTATTTTATTTTTATTTTATATTTTAATGAGAATGATTAATTTTATCGTTATATTTTTTTGTAATCAAGAAGAACACAATCGCGAAGATCATTGGAGATTCTCCAACTTAAAATAGATGAAATAGATAATGGAGTTAGATAAATCAGAATACAAGTTACCAACAAATCTCATTAATGTTAAGAATTGTCACGCGTTTACGGTATAGCGCGGCTTTAAGGTAGACCGTCTCTAAGGACACGCAGCATTATGATTCGAAGCTCGTACGCATATATGTGGCAAACTAGACCAAACACTCTCGCCGTCTATCTTTTACGAGCGCTTTATCTCGGCGGACTTCACGACCCGACACCACATTACGCGCGCCACATCTAGATTTTACAGCTCCGTTCGCACTGACGCCACTCCGTTTTACGAGGTCCTCTCGTGTCCGATCATCTAGCTTCTTCCGTACACTTCTTCGCCGGTGGTCCATTCCCGCCGGAATATCAAAAGGGTCCTGATTGTACAAAAAAATGACTATCTCCACGCTCTCCGAAATCTCACTCGTACAATCGCATTTTATTACAGTCGCTGCCATTATGTCATAGAAGATTTTTTTAACTAATTAAACACACAGTGCTTGAAATAATTATATAATAATTGAATTATACCAAATAGCTATCGAAACTGATCATTGAGCAGCCCTGTTGAGCTGGCCCCCCCACCTTGCACAAATAAAAAAACAA